CCTTCTGAATATCAGCTCCTCAAGAGCAGAGACTATACTTGGTGCATCATCACCTGTCTACCATCAAAGCAGCATCTCTTTCAGAGTGGAGGATAAGTATTTATTGATGACAGAAAGCAGGAAGGTGTTAGAAAAAGCAGAATCTATTAAGTGGCGGTAAAGTCCAACCTCAATAATTGAGACTAACTGGAAAAGAATAAATAAAGGGTAGGCTGAATGCTTAGAAAGTATTTTGTGGGATGCCTCTTATGTAAGAGGTAAAAAGTAAATATTTCAGATTTATTTCAGATGTGTCTAGGAAAAAGGCTTAGGGAACCTTCAGAATAACTGATAAGTCTTTTCTAGTCAGCAGAACACTTCTGTGGTGCACAATTTTTCCAAAAATTTAAAAAGTGCTCTACTGCTTTTATACTTTTGAATTTCCCCACGTGTTCTTACTTACATTACATCTTTTTACACTAACCCTCTTTGGAAGCTGTGCTTCAGGAAGATGAATGTCAGCTTCACCTAGTTCTAATGACAGCAAATACAAAGGCAGTGCCACTCAAACAGTAAGGGTTTACAAATAGAAGCTGTACTCCTGAGAGTGCTATGGGGGCTCCGCCTCACTCCTGGCACCCAGTCATAGAGGCTCCAGCCCTGGCCTTTGCAGGTTCTGGGATTAGGCCGGGAGAGTGTGATTCAGAGCGGGGGCGGTCATGAAGTGAAGATGGCACCAAAAAAGTTTGTCGAAGTGAAACTTCTGTGCTAATATTCCAACGCTCCTTTCTTGGAGGTAAACAATAGAAGTAGAAAAGGGAAAAAATAATGTTCACTATTATGACAGTCAGCTACCTATAATGGAGCCCGAACAGGCACTGTACGTGGTAAGGATGTGTAATGACCATTGAGAAAAAATGACTGATAATTATCTTTAGAAGTATTTTGTTAAAAGGCAAATAATGAAGATGTTGATGGGAGTTTTCCAGGCCATTTTCTTCAAGTTCTTACTGTTAAAATAGAATTTCCATCATATTCTGGCTAAAATCAGTAACTTTACATGTGGCTGATAGCATATCTTGAAAATAAATGAGCACATTACTAAAAATTCATTTGTCTTTCAGATTTATAAATTATTACATTAAATCACATTACTTCCTTGAAACCGTTTACCTGAAAGAAACAATAAATAATGTTGGGTTTATAGTCCATAAAAATCTATACAGCTGACAAATACTGTCTTCATTTTTTCAATTATTTTAATTATGGAAAGCCTAGAAGGAAACAAAATACTTAAAAATCAAAGCTTCCATGTGTAACTAAGAAAACATTTTGGACATTATTTATATTTAACAGCTTTTGAGTTTAACCCCCTGTCTGTATAAAAAGATGTTCAGAACGAACATCTACTTTTAATTTCTCTTCTTGCCCCTCATCTGAGTAGATTTTATTTATGCATTAGACGACCTTTTTGGCCATTAGAACCATCTTGCTTCAGCAGTTAATTAACATAAGTACCATAATTTAATATAGTTAATGCTACTTGATGCCCTTTAATGTACCTTCCATTAGTGATATTATTGTAGTATTACCCTGTAAATTAAAATGAGATCAAGACTAAGAGAGTCACTCTTTAATTAAGGTGCTGGCACATTGCACTTGTCTATTATTCACTGGAGAAAATCACCCTGATTTACTGAAGCAGGACATTCATAAGTCAGAATTAGTCCATGTAGATTATTAGGTTTATTGAACAATGTAAGTACTACGAAGCTGCTGAAATTGCCGACAGCCACGTTTCCTTTTTCCTTCATTATCTTAATAAATACACAAGAAGAGGAAGTAAATGGAAGCAAAATAAGTATGTGGCAAAAAAAAGAGTAATTTTTATGATGAGATTACGGTTGTTTTCTTACTAGTAAAATAGGTATCCAATGTATCACATTCCAAAAAGAGCATAAACGCTACAAAATTCTAATGTCAATCAAAACACTATTTTTCTGTCAAACAACACTAGTCAGTATAAAACATACGCATGCACAAGCACTAGCGAATCGGATCTCACAAGCCCAGTCATCTCAAGCAAAGACCAACAATTTTTGTCTCACAGTTTCAGATTTCAAGGTTAAAAAAAAAATTCTGTATTCTCTGTCCACTATACTATGGATGTTTATGTCTGGTCTCCATTCTACTTTCCCAAAAAAACTCATGTCAATTTCCACATTATGGTGGGGGTAGGGATAGAAGGAAGAAGTAGAAAAATATCATTATCATGATCAGATATAGACATGTAAAGGCATGTTAAATGTTGCAATCGTTTGTGCAGGGAATAAGAACTTCAGCTGTATTTTGAAAAGCGTACTTTTCTGATAGTCTTGAAAGGGAAGCTTTAGAACTTTCTTTTAGAGATCATCAATTAATATTTAATCCTTCTATAGATGATTTGTTACATAAGAGAAAGACAATCTAGAACATTAATCTTACTGAAACTTTCAAGGGCAAAATAATTAGATCAGCTTCTATGCTGAAAGGCCTCTGAACCAGGCTGTAGCTCAACATTTCCCTTCAGTGGCTCCAACATCAGCAGATCTTCTTTATATAACTTAAAAGCTGGAGACACGCCCGAGCCATCAGACCTTGCTTCTTTAGTCCCTCCCCTAAGACTAAAAATACTCCAGCCATCTGGTGCCTAGTGTGGTACATGCCAGCATCAGTTCCGCCCTGAGGATTTGGACAAAGTCTGGAGGTGACAGAAGAAGACCTTACGGAAGGGCCTCACCTCTACTGGACCTTTCTTGTTTGCCCAGCTGCTTCTCTTCAGCTTACAGTTGACTGGTGAACAGGAAAAGACAGTGGAGCTGAGTCCTGAGAAGGAGGGGGGAGTCCTCCAAACTCCTCAGAACCACTGAAATGCAGTTGGAGGACCCGACTAGGTTGGGAGATGGAAGAAATGTGACAGATCTGAAGGGATCTACATTTCCAACACATCACCTTCAGGAGATGGCATGTTTGACAGCAGTGGAGAATGCATAAAAATGCCTGTAGCTTTCAAGTTTATTTTATGCTTTCCTTTAAGTTATTAGAGGAAACAAAATGATTGCTAATAACAAAAACAAGCATCGGCAATGATTTTTTTTTCCCAACAAAAATGCTTCAGAAGATTGCCTTTTTTACAAGTAGCAAATAAGAATATTTGGGGAAGTGAAGCTATAGCAATTTGGGCTCAGTTAAGGATTTCTTAAACTATAAGGAAATTGACCTAGATGAATCTACGGAGTGATGTAGATTATATCAGGATTAAAATTCAAATCTTAGTTTATGAATTGTTTACCATTATTCATGTAAATGAATTGAATATTTGTCATTCCATTGTGGCAAGCTGTTGTTGATAATAACAATTTCAACTATTTTCACATATCATACGTCCCCAAGAATAAGATCCTGGAGATACATAATCTTTTGCTAAAATGTTCCTGATTATAATGGCTGTGTATTATTATAAATAGCAAATTCATGTTTAAGACAACAGCTCCACATTGCCCTGTCATGTACCCTGCTAATAATATATGAACTATCCTCTATACCTTAGAACTCACAAGTCCAATATTATTCTGCTTTAAAGATATATTCATTATATACCACCAAGAACTTGGTAAAAAGTTTTAAGAGAAGCTTCACAGATAAAGGCTCTTGATTCTTCCATGAGGAACATGAAGCTAGAAAAAGCTGAGAGTAGACGGCCACCAGTTTCTGCTACTTTTCCACGGCTAAGACTCTGAAACCTTTGACACCACACTACAGTCAAGCCCACCGTTCCTTGCTGTGTTCCCACTATGGCCTTTATCTTAACAGCAGTGACCTCTTCCTTCTTCCAGCACGCATATGTAAGACAAATCTCTGACAGACCAGAAAGTCTCAACACTTGTCCAGTTTCTGAGAACTGGGCTGCCTAAAGGATGCTGGAAGCCAATACACTGAATCAATCCTGCCTTATCTGTTTGAATTTTGTTATTAAATAATTAAGCCTACATGACATATACTATTTATATTCATATTCTCATATATTTCAATTTAAAGCTATCTTGGCCTTTTTTTTTTTTTTAACTGGCATTTATTTCTTTGCTTGCCTTTCCCTTTGTTTCTATTTGCTAGATACTCCGCTTTTACCTTTAGTCTTTCCACTCACTGTCTCACGCTTCCATTCCCCTCAGGTGGTCATTCTGATAATATACCACACTTAAAAAGCTGGTTGAAAAATCTCTATGTGGTGGTTCTGGTTCTCATTATTGAAGTTTTTCATTTAAACATCTTCAAAGGTCTCAGAAACTTGCTCAATTTTGTCTCTGACATATTATCAAAACCAAAGCTATCCCTGACTGTGTTTAATTAATGTGTTTAAACTCTGGTCCATTTGTGATTGATCTACGAGATGAAGGGAGTGCAACTCAGGTCTATATTTTAAATGCTAGTATATCTTTCTGATATAATAACATCTAAAAACCTGAAAAGTAGAGCTTGTCCCAATTTAAATGTTTCCTAGATGCTTTTGATTCTGGTTTAATAAATTTAAAGAAGTAAAACTCAAATTTCCAGATTGTTTGTCCAATATAACAAAACACAAATTGATTGGGGTACCCTGTTGAATCCCTGTTTTGCATTTGCAAACCATGATATTGTATTTCTAGTTTTCAGTTCCTTATAGGGCAAATGGCTTGCTTTCCCTGGCTTCCTTGCGTTAAAGACCTAAAGGGCCTCCCAACCTAGGGAGTTACTTTTTAAAATTCACTTTCATTTAAATTCTGAAGAATCATGTCACGTTCAATGACAGCAAGTTTGGGATTACAAATTACCACTGAGAATGAAGGGTCTCAGAACTTCAGAACCTATTTCTACACTGGTATTCCTAAAGAAAATGTTGCAGTAGAAATTGACAAATGTTACTTCAGAGCTGTGAGACTGATATTCTGGCATTTTCTTTGGACACACCCGCTCCCATTGAAAGCAGACAGATTTTCTCTTACCTTCCTCGCACCTTTATGTCTGAGATCGCGTAAAAGTAGCGTGCCAAGTGTAGCTCATCTACAAATATTTCCCCAACGGCTGGTCTTAGCAGCCTTATCCTCAGGTCTGTGACTGTAAAGAAATCTCTGAGTTTCTTGGTTGTATCCAGCTGTCCGTAGAGGGAAGCCATATTGCGTAGGCGAGGTCCAGCAAAAAACGCAAACCTGTCTTTGATTTCAAAGTGGATTATTTTGCTATTTGTGGTATACCCTGTTGAGTACTCTTCTGTGCAAATGATTTCTAAGACCGTATGCTGTGATAAATCCTTCACAGATTTAGGATCCATGTGAAAAGCATCTAAGCAGTCTGTGGCATAATACTGATAGGGCTGCCACGTTCGTCCATAATCGAGAGACTTCTCCAGGATCATTTGGTCTGGACGCCCCGATTCAAAGGTAATAACTATGTTGTCTGTTAGCTCAATGGTTTTGCTCCAAGACAGAGTGATGTTAACCTGGAGAGGCTTGGGATACTCCTTCCAAGTGGCAGACTGCCAAAATGTGGAGGGATGTCTTCCTTCAAAATCAAACATCAGCTCAGGGGGGTGTGCCAGCTCAGGGGTACTCGCATCACACTCATTATTGCACATGTAGGGATTGCCCTATGGAAGAAGAACAAGAGAGGGTGCATCAGAACACTGGTTCCCACAAGTCTTGCCATATTGCTCAGTAAGAGGCTAGAAAAGGAAAAAAGAAAAAAATAAAAATAAAAAAGAACAGAAAGAAAAAACCAAAAAACAAAATCTGTTTTCAGTAATCATTTGTATTTGCCCTCACTGGATTCTCCTCTTTAATAGCTTAAAAAAAGCAATATGGTAATTTTCTTGTCTTGTTTCCTTCCATGTGCTTTAAGAAATGTAAAACAGTTTATTTATCCCATATGTGTTAGACCCATAATGTGGTCACAGAAGCACAAAGACACTGAGCAACTGTCTAACAGCTCTAATACCTCCGCTTCCTCTTAGAAAGATGCTATAGAAAAGCAAGGAAAATTCCTCCCTGCCTGAAGGACAATCTTTAAGAGAACACTTCTTTAAAAAGTCATTTTTCAAGCAAAGCTTTAGAATCAGCCATGAACCATAGATACCTGTGTTCTGTGGGGGAGACAATACTCCCATACAATATTCAGCTTTTTTTTTTAGCTTTCCCTGAAATCCGTCATACTTAACTGGGTCCTTGATTCACAATGTCTGGTTTTAAAACATTTATTTTGCTCACCATGAATTATTAAAATGTGGTACCCTAAAGGCTCTGGGGCTTGGTCCAAATATCTGCCATCTTGTTAGGTAAAGATAAAAGGATTGCTCAGCAAAGTCTTGGGGCTGGGAGTGTGCTCCAAGTCATCAGGGCAAGAAAACCGACTACTCAAATTAGGAGGCTGTTGCACATCAAACCACAGCCACTTGATGCGTTTGTTACTCTGGGCCAAGCCCATAGGCAGTTCTTCATGGATGTTAGTTACTACTATTCTCCCTATAATGAACGCTGCTTCCTTTACAGCCATTCAGACAAGAAACTAGAAAGAAATCTCCCAGTTATATTACAACAAGTTACAACACTGCTTATGCTGCACTAAATGGTTGCTCGGTAGATTCTATGGCAAATGACAGTTACCAGATTGTTGTTGATTTCATTTTTAAGAAAACAAGTAGTACCATTTGAACTCAACTATTCAGGTGTTTCTCTCTTATTCTGTACTCCAGTTATTATGACCATGGCTGGGTGAAAAGAATTGATCCTCTGACATTGTCCTTAAGGCTTCCTTTTGTAATTACAATTAGGTTTCTTGTTTTTTTTTTTTTTTTTTTTTTTTTTTTTTTTTGTCATGAACTGTGAGCTTTTTATCATACCTGTAGGATACAAGAGTTAGATCTCAGACAACTGAATTTACACTTTAGACATCGACATTCAGTTCCTGGCTGACTCCTATGAAACATAAGATGAACATGGGAGAATTGCTTTGGTCTCCCTAGAGGCAACTTCCTCCTACCTAGTCAGCTAATACTTTCACTCTCTCTTTCCCGTTAATGTAACTGAATCCTGAAGTTGGCAACAGGTTTTGGAGACTCAAGTATAATTGTGATAGGGCAGGAGAAAGGAGAGAAGGTACATTATTTGAGGAACAGAACTGTTTTAAAAATACACTCAAGGAATCAGTGATAATGAAAATGTTTCTGTACTTCTCTCTCGAATTTCAATTCCCTAGTCCTGATCCTAGCGTCTGTGGTCCTATTTATAGTATCCCCTTCAAAATGAGCCAAGGGAGGGGAGAAATAAGTTTCTGTTCCAGGTGGAATAAATCACCAAATTTATTATTATTTAAATTCTCTTAAGCATGCCAGAGAGCCAAATGCAAAGCTCTGCAAACTGGCAAAGGCTTTTTATGGAGGGTTATAAATATTGTGGAATCTGTCAGGATTTATAAATTCTAAATATATGTAAATGCACATTTTACAGGAAGAGGTCAGATTTACACAAATCACACCTTCACTTGAAATTTACTGAAAAAATACGGTCACTTCAAAATCTGTCAGCATGTAGCCATCTGCGCAATCATGAACTTGGATGCTATCATCTTCCTTCTGACAAAAACGTCTTTATCTGAGGTCAGGGGTATGGAAACAAGGGGAAAGAGCCTTGTTTCTTTCTGCAGGACCCACCAAAATGAGTTATCAGATGTTTGTAGTAAGTTGTATTGAAAGATAACATTTGGTTACTTTCAGCATAGGTGTGCAGAGATTCTCAGATAGGGATATGGCGCTGGGACCACAGGAGACACATTAGGCTGCTTCTGGAAATTGGTCAATACTAACAAACGTATCTTATAAAATGTGCTTGAAGAAATCTATGTAAAAGGCTCTCATGCCTATACTCAATAAGTGGTATTGCTAATAACCACCATTTAGTTAGCGCTTGTGTGCTGGACACTACATACATTTTCCTCGGTAATCCTTTCCATATCTACCTAGAGAAGAGGAAATTGAGACATAGAGGTGTTAAGTAATTTGCCCAAGGTCACATAATATAGTCAGTAAGAGGCAGAGAGGAGGCTGGTGCCTCTTACCGCTTCCCTGGCTTGTTGAATTCCCAAGCCATTGGAATTCCCTCTGTTGTAGCCCTGTCATAAAACAGGATTGGCTGGTAGAAAGGTAATGTCTAAGATCAAATGAGTTTGGGAAGCACAGCCTAATCTTGTCTTGGAGAGTCCTAATGAACATTTTCATAATCTGACATATCTTGAAATTAAGAATTCTGTTTAGCTTCACGTAACACCTAGTTTCGCAGACTTATGTGACCATGGAGTCTCTGTGTGGTTTCGTAACTCCTGTTCATATTCTACAGAAATCATGTCCTGGAGGGCATCCTCAATATCAATATCAATATCACTCTTGATATTGTAAACATGTGGAGGGCAAACAGCACTGCAGTTTTAGCCCTTTAATGAAGGCATGCCTACAGAAAGCACTAGGTCTCTTCTCCGTGGGCATCCTTCCCGTGAGGCTCAGTGGATCAGCCAGCTCAGGGTCTACATTTATATCAAGTTATTCATTGCTTCGCACAGATCTGGTGCTTTAGGCACCTAAAAAAATGGGAGTAAAGATTCGTACGTGCAACAATTATTTATTGATTGCCATATTCAAGTCACTCAGCTTGGTTCTCAAAATACAGCAGTAGACAAATCCAAGTCCTTGCTTCCCGTGGCACTTCCATCCTAGTTGGGGGAGGTGCCCTAAACAAACAAACATAATCTGTTATAATGTTACACGGTGATGACGTGTATGGAGAAAACAAAGCCAGCTAAAGGAGGCCCTGGTGTTGGCTGGAGGAACAGTGACTGTAATTTTATTTTGGGAAGTCAGAGAAGGTCTCCCTGATAACATGACATCTGAGCTGATTGAGAACACTTCCCAATTTATACTGGAGATGATCAGATGAGGTTGACCAGAATGACAGTTCCGTCCTTCATTTGACTCTACTCGTAGCGATATTTTCAGCAGGATAACAATTTATTGAAATCAATGGGTAAACAAATCATTTCAAATGAGAATCTACACCAAATGACTGTAGATATCAAAGGGGGAAAAAATCAATTGGATTGTTCTATTTCATAGCACTCATGCTCTTTTAGGAGGTTAGTGATTTGATGGCTATTACCATAACTTACTGAGATATGATGACATTGAGAGAAACTTAACAGAAGAAACAGGAAGAAAACAAAAGATTTCATTTTGTTCCCCTGCACTTCAGGTGAGAGGGAGGAAAAAAGAAGAAAGGTGAAGAAGCCATAAATCTTATCATTCCCCAAAGAAAAAGCTGGAGGAGAGATTACAGGCTGAAATATTTAGTGTAAATATTTCACGTGGCTGTGATCTGTAATACTGTTGTTACAGAGAATTATCAATATGAAAACAATTCCTGTTAAAGGGATTAGTTTAATTAGATTTCCAACTACTTCAACCCCACCCTAATCCTCTTTAATAACATCAACAATGAAATTCATATAAGAAAAAGCAACTTTTCCTGACTTACAAAAACAAAGAACACACTTCTTCCTGCTATATCTAACAGATTCAGGCATCAGAAAGTGTAAGTAATTACTTTGTGGCCAGCAGGCAGCCTTAAATAGATCTTAATTGAAGTTCAACAAGCAACATATCCTTAGTTGATTGTGGACAAAGAAGAAAATATTTTTGCCTATGCTGATAATATTTACACCACTAGCAAATGCCTAAATAATTAAACAGATATTGCTACTAAATATTTTTATAACAATTAGAAGAAGATTGTGATGTTTAATTTCATTTTAAAAATGTTAATATTTTACCTCTGGGAGAATTGTAGTTCTTAATTAGCAATTTGTAGCCAAAGTGGAATATTGTTATTCTTCCTTAATATGCTTTCAGAATTTAGAGAGATAAATACAATTTGAGGCATGCTTTTACTGTTTCTATTGATGGAAGGTGCCTGCCTTCCTTCTGGCAAAGCGACACTTTGAAAAGAACATCCTTGCACCTAAGATCTGCTAAGCCCTTGAGAGTTACATATTTTTTAAAAAATCTCATGTAAGCAGTATTAAACTAACACTTGGGGTTGCTATCATTTTGACTTTGCCCTTCCAAGCTTTACCTATGGGCAAACTATTGGGAGCAACAGTTGAAAATGAAGAGAATTCTTACGGGAGATTTGCTAATGAATTGCAGATGTGCAAGTGGTAAGTTTGGGTTAACACTTAAACGAATCATGAAAAAAGAATGAGACAGAGATGTCCTGCACCCATTCGCATCTGGCTCATCCTTGCTTGTTTTATTGGTGACAGTCAAAAAAGACACAAAGGCAAGAAGCAGCATTCCGGAATGGCACTCCCAACCTGTTCCTGCTGTGACTCTGAAATAGATACCATTAGGGGTTTTTTTCCAATGCAAGGCCTTTAAAAGAGTGTAGAAATTGGCTGCAGAGCCTCCTATTCATTCCTCAGAGATTGGAACCATGAGCACCACACTTTCACTGAAAGGCTGGGGCATTGTCTAGACAGGTGCTGGGAGGCTAGTGATTGACTCCTTTATAGCAGAGGTATAATTTTTGGTGGAGGGACTCCCCCTCC